ATATATATATATATGACTATAGTAACAAATTACGAGGAAATTCTCACTGAGTAATCATGTTAAGGAAAACAGCCTGATCAGCGGAATCGAATCCGTCCTGAAAATCTGGGAATACAGAAATTGGTTATTGCACCCAGTAACACTGTGTTAGCTTGTCGAACTATTTCATATTACTGACTCAGACTCTGAATTGTTCTAACAGGCTGGTCAGAAAGATTCAGATTTCTTATTCCAAACAGAGGTGCCGAACTTGGCCGTTTGTAGTTGGCTGCAATTTTCCGGATCCAGCCTGAACCAGCACATATCCTTCCACCGACGACAAGCTCTGCAAATTCCCGAAGGCTGTTGATTACCAGCTGGTGAGTGTGGCCATCACAGCAATATGCTTAAGGTCATAGAAATGCCGAGGCGTCGTCCGACCGTCCTACGTTCTGTCGATGCACGTTTCATCATCGACCGGTCGGCAAAATAACGAAAGATGTGTGAACAGTGGACAGAGCCAGCGTGTGCTCAGCGGCATCCTCTCTTTTGATGTGGCTGTGTTGTAGTCTACATTCTAAACTTGGCATCAAATTCCAATTCTTAGGTTTCATAGATACATTTGACTTCCACCTGTGCATATGAGTCGTTTTGTCTTCCACTTGCTTGGAATGGTGATGGTACGGCTGTTCGGTAGCTGAAATATGGTGGCCTCAAAAAGAATGCCGATCGCGAACACTCACAGCAATCTCATTATCTGCATACAGCAGTTAAAGTTTGTCACTGTGGCTCCTCATAAAATCTGTTCGTACAAATGATTTATTGCCTCTGGATTTAGGTGGTCAATTCAGCGGGACGTTTCGTGCGACGGAGTCGGTTTAGATTATAGGGGAATTGCCATTTTGAGACATGCAGCTTACAGGTGGGGAACGAAACAATAAAAGTTGACAGGATAGAGGTTAGTCTTACAAATACTCATGTTGAGTCACTGAAGACTGAGACCCACAATATCACCATCACCTTAGTAGGAAGATGGTCTTCATTGAGGGGTTCCGCTGTGAAACGGTTATTCTTCTAATGATTTTAACTGGCGGGCTAGACATAGAACTCATGTTTTGGTAGTTTCATGCGTCACGTTTCGGGGCCCAAAACGTCCTATCCACGGAGGCAGCAGCTGTCGACCGGACTCAGGTTACTGGTCAGTGTTTTCATACTTTTTTGCCAGGTCACCACGTGGTCATTTCCACTCAGACCAAATAGAGCTCAGACGGTGTACCGGCATACGTTGTACTCCTAACCAGCGTAATCTGTGAAGCGTGAGTAATTCAACCATCGCGTGAGAGATCCTTTCCCCTAAAACCATCTCGCGTACCTCAGCAGTATTAATCCGATGTTCGCACCAGATTCGACACCAATGGTAAAAAAACTGATATCTTTCGTATGTCCTCTGCGCGTAGAAGTCACGTCTCTGATCGACGACACAATATTGATGTTGCGTAGTCACATCATCTGGTTTCAACAGATAATTAGAACAATTCGCCAAACCTGGAGTATAACCTCAAGAATCTTGAGTAGTTCAGTCAGGAAACTGAACTGTCCCGAAATTTTAGTATTGCAGCGTGAATTCGAGGCCAATAATTCAACAAAAACTGATTATGGGACGCGTCGGTCAATCGAATCAGTTCCAGAGAGACCCAACTACACGGGTGAGGGCGGAATGATTACACAACCCTTCTTCTATCCGTTAATGAGTATTGAAATAAAAATTATGAATCTATCAATCAAGGCGATGCATCCGGTAATTGTGATTTTAAGGATGAGATCTGTACATTCCCTCAACCAATCCAAAATTAAGTTAAAAAGGGGTTCATGTTATCGTTAGACACATCGACATGGGCGCATGGAGTGAAAAGTGAAAACTGTACACTCTCCACGTAGATCACATTGGAATTAGGAGCGGTGAATATTGAAGCAGTTGTTTTTAGAACATAAATCGTTCCTACCTGAAGGCAAGATAGTCTGTCATCATTACTGTAATGATCGGAATATAACAAGGTACATGTACAAAATGACGACCCCACCTAAATAACCGAAGAGAAAATAAGAAAAGGTAAAAAGTTTCATCTATATCTTGTGAATTTGAAAATGACTCATAGGGAACATAGAAATGCGGTGTTTGAGCTTGTGGTTTAAAATAATTGGGAAGGCAGGGATTGGGTGTCAGCAAAATGCGCAAATTCCAGAATATCTTGCTCAGTGCACTCAGAACGGTCCCGAAAGTATTCACGCAGGCACAAAGACATTGCCGTATTCAGATGTCGAAGGATAACGTCCACATCACTCCACTCACTTGTTCCAATCTACAAAGGAATAAAGGGGAAAGAACAAGGTCACGGTATAGATAGAAATTGGAACAGGAAACGAATAAAAAAACGAAGAGGGATTAATTGGGGATCTGATGATATCAGATATGGAATGTCCGGTACCGAAGCAGGTTGTCTGCTTAAAATGCGCATCGCAAAGAACGACAAGGTCAAAGTGCGAACTCAGCAAAATGGTCCATCTCAAAAGGATTACTATAGTTTCGAAGCTATAGGTTCCAAAAAGCAGCCAAAACAATTGCTATCCAAGATGTGACTGTCGTCACTGTCAATAAGGGCGCACGGTTTGATTACATCGAAGAGCGGATAATGATACACCAAACGGGTATAATCGTCGACTGAAGGAAGAGTCGTACGAAGTTACCCTCCTATATTGTTACCTCCTGATCGGCACCCGAAGCTTATCTATGGATCACAGTTTGTTTGAATGCAGAAACGCTCACATTTCGGCATAACAGTTTCGTAGGCAAGGAAAACCAGCCGGGCGTAGTGATTGAGGGGGCGTTACGGGATAACAAGCATCACTGGCTGGTAGGCTTCCTAGACTACTATGAGGAAGCTCATCTGCAATGCGTCTTCATATGACACCGAATTTTCGTCTATGGTTCCCCGTATCCGTTGGCGAGCCAAGACGGATAGGTTTAGACTGACTTGGAATAGGATAAGCCGTCCGTTGTTGAATCTGCAGTTTGACTGCTGCATGTTTCCATTGGGTTCCTTTGCCCGATATCGAAGGACTCGTTGCTCACAGCTTTCCAAGCTAGTGTACACGAATTGGTCCGAAGTTTTTCGAAAGTGCACAAAGAATATTGGCCGGTTCATGCTTTCCCACTGTTTCACCCCATTACATTTGTCTTCCAAGTGTTCGCGACTTATGTTTTATTCACAGTAGATTGGACTACCGGTTGTCTGACGTCCTTACTTGTTTCAATACGAATCAATACGTTTGAGCTTCCGAATGAGAATTCACCCGATAAGTTTGTTCATGCGCTTACCAGGAACAGCGACACAGGTTTCCCGGCTGAGTGGAGTTGACCAAGTGGCTAGGTGAATCAGCGTCAGCATGATATGGTGATGTTGGAATTTCCCTCAAGATGCGTAAATTGTAGCTCAGGTTGAACGCACTCGCAATCGCTTGATCGTGATGGATACGGCATAGAAATGGAACAGCTGGGGACCTTTAGGGTGATTCTAACTATCCACACATAACGGGCACCATTTAGAACCCCAAAATGGGCGAGATGCCTCAAGTGGTTAGAGCGCGAATTTACTGACCGCAAGGTCCGTGGTTCGAACCCGACCTCTGCCTCTGGACTTCCCCTGTATAGGCTTGGGCAACCTGGCAGTATCCCAGGCCTCGTGCAACCTTTGGGTGGCATGGCAGTTGGGCACCGAAAGGGTGCTATAGCTGAACGATTATTATTAGAACCCCCAAAACTGTACAACATAGGTACATAGGATACCCGTTCTGCACGGTGTGTGCAGCATAAGAGGTCTTTGGTCGTTTCTAACTCCTAATGCTACCAACTTATCGGCTTGGGAAAGAAGAGATTTCAAGTGTTCTAACTTTGGGGCTATGACGGCATGCCATGATACTATGTAGGCTCCAGGAGAGAAGCAATATTTTGCAAATTAAACTGTTTTAGTTTTGGTACCTCCTACAGGCAACATGGATGTTAGACAAGTGGTCGAATTTGGGAGTTTTCTCGCGAAGAGGACTGCTCAGGTAGGGTATTGCTAAACGTGGAAAACAGGTTGCACGGCAGGTTTCATGACTATGCGGGATCCATTCTTATGGTCTATGTAGCGAACCATGGCGGTTCGTTGGGCAACGAAGCCTAACAGAACGACCGGTTGCAAATCAAACAAACCTGATTAATAGCCATGTTCGGAATTTATTCGTGGGAATACTTTCTGGGATAGTGTTCCAGTGCAATTCTGGAGTAGTTTTATGAGGATTGTGCATGTTCACTTCTCGAGCTTTCGTATCCGCATGCACAGTAGTCCTCGGTGTAGACCGGGGGTGCAGTAACTGGTGGAGCTTATTTCCCCTCTTTTGGAAAACATCCATAAATATCGATTTTTGTCTCTAAGCATCTGGTTTCTCACCGTAACAGTACTATATTGACTGGTGTTAGACGATGTCAAGTCGTGTATTGATTAAGATGATCACAATCCAAACTACCACATCCAGCAAGTAGTTAACCTTTCACTGTCCTAAAAGACTGAAGAGCCTGTACCAGCAAAAAATGGACTGATCTGACAGGAGCGTATAATGTTCAGAAAACAACGGTCTAATAGCTTGCCACTGCATTTGAAAGACAAGCCCAGGTGCACCCTCGGTGGAAAAATCTTATTTCAACCCAAATGTTGCAGGAACACAAATGGCACGAAACCAACAGCTGTTGGTTCAGCACGGTGTACGAACTAATAGCTGACGATTCAGTCGAGACTAGCTTATCGCGAAGCGGTGTTTCAAGACGCCGGACGCGATGCCGTATACAGTGCGGGTGCACCGGACATCAGTACATAAAAATATGCAGCGGTGTGAATGGACAGGGGCGACATTGGGCACACATTTTGGCGTATGTGGTTGTTAGGGTGTTCGAGCTGATGAACGAACAAAGAGCTGAGAGAAAATATTCCGGGCTGTGCAAAAACGCAAACAGGCACTGTTTGGGTGACGGTTATTGCTATCCAACTGATTTCGGGGATAATATGTGTAGCAGTCTGATAGTGAAACTGTTAAAGCAATCGGGAAGAGGGCTATCCAGGAGCATTGTCACTCCTGTAACAAACGGTTTGCTTTAGTAACGGATTTATACAACTGTTCAATTAGAAATCCTCATTTTCACCAAACGTTGTCTTCAGCGGGTGCGCAATCCGAGGAGAGCAGAAGGGCAAGGGAAAAGCAATAAGGAAAGTCCAAAGTCAAAATGCAGCCTGATGGAATGAGATGTCATAATCCGACGTTTCGGGTGCCGTGGGCGAAATTTTTCGGAGATTTTTACAATCAAGTGAATGCAGCTGATTGTCAAGGTAGTGCTGGATGAACAAAATTCCATACGTCTTCCGTGCTAGAAGCCATGGTCTCGATTATTTACCAGTTGAAGAATATACGAAACCTGAAAATTGTAATGCAAGTATAAAGACGTAGGGGGGGGGGAGGAGAACCAAATCGGCGTACATCGGTCTGACTGATAGATTCTGCAGCAGGAGGGTAACAGTGGATAACGATCCATACCGCGTCCGTTGAGATCCAGTGAGATGACTTTTTGACACTACAAGTGGCGCCAATTGGCAAACGCAATCCTGGCCTCTGAGATTTGTGTCTATCACACTGTCTCAGAGATAAGGCAACTTCCGAAATACGTATGATGTTCCAGACTTCCACTGTCATTTCTTCAATACTTAGAGGCATGTTCAAAGACTGTACGACCGACAGGACACGAAACACGACCTTGAAAGGCTTTTTCTAGTAATGCTTGCTGTTTTCGAGAACGGAAACAATGTTGTCTGTATGTTTCAGGTCGTCAAGGTTTCTGCTCATTATTTCTTGCCTGCCACCTTAAAATCCTAACGATCTGATCTTTCTCGATACTCTCTTCAAAACCGCATAGTAACTGTGCTTCCCTGCCCGTGCCGGTATACCGGTGACTATGTCTGATTGGGAAAATGTCCACCCCGAGTGATGCTGTTCCTTTTTTTTTAACACCGTTCCCACAATTCTCGCCAGTCATGCTTTTATTCTGACTGTAACATTATTATCGTTCCTGACGGTATGCCACCCACAAGTTGGGTGCGAACGTGAAAGGCTGTCAGACGAGCTGAGCGCTGGGGTTGGAAGAATGATTTCGAAGTGCCTGCGACCGTAAATATTCCGGCTAACGGAAGTGGGCGACCAAAGGACCTGTCAGTCTATTGGGTGGAATCATCTCTCTGTAACAGGACAACAGTGCACATCATGATGTAAACTGTCCCACCCAACTGGTTGGGATATCTTTCCGTTCACCTAGTAAGTCACAGTGTGCTTTTGGTGAACACTGTCATTTCTGTGTTCTGCATAATCAAGTGGGAATGATCCACAATTTTGGACAGCATCAGTGTATGTAGTTGCCCAAAACTTCATTTTACACTGACTTAAATTATCTAGTGATAATTATCAGATGAATTTGTGCTTCCAACGACGGCGCCGGCAGCCTAACATTCAAGGCATAGCTGAGTCGAGAAAAAACTGTAATTTTCTGTAATACCTTCTGAAACGACCTCAACAGAAGTGAATCAGTTCTCGTGCATTTTGAACGAACTATCAAAGCGTATGCACCACTTTAGTCCACAGGGTCATTCTCAAGGCGTTGTTTTTCTGAAGAATCACAAGGCAAAATCGATTAGCCCGTAGAGAGTTTACAGAAACAGTTGTCCGAAAATTGCTCGGACATAACACAGACCAGCGAGTTGTTCAGAAACATAGAGACGACCAATGAAGAACCAATTCGTTGCATCAAACACAGTGCACACACAGTTACCAAGGATGTTCTGCACAAGTTTCTTCAAGTTGCAACTCAGATTTACCTGGTTTGAAAGAGGTACAATGCAATCACAATAGGTTTTTACTCCGCGATGACAGCCCGCTTCGCTCGCCGTATCACCGTTTTCGATGGATCCATTTGTTCAAACTCATTTACTTCTTGCTTTGTGCGACGAAGAGTTCAGTTCAGTACTTTTAATGTACCTCTGATTATTATATTGCGACTATGGCCGGCGACAATGTTGAATACGTGCTGGGATTCTGCTTCACCTAACAGGGCGACAAACAACTGCGTTTATAGTGTGGTCACGTGTTATCATCGATACGCAACTAAAAACCGTAGGTCGTACGAATCGGAGACACATGCCGGATAATGCCATAGTAAGCAGACTACTGGGCGGATTGGAATGAAAGTTGAGGTGCAGAGACTGGACATCATGGAAGGAACAGTCCCGAAAAAATACAGCAAAAAACGTACAAATGACTCAGTGTTAGGCTGAGCCACACGTGAGACTTTTCGTAGCTTGGTAGTTCCCCGACTGTTTTAAACTACCGGTAAAGCAAACCCATAATCGACCGGTCATCCACTGAATAATTGGATTCCTCCGAGCATGAGGGAAGAACGCTCGCCAAAATTTGTTACTGCACGGTTTCGTCAAAGTTGAGATCTTGCCTGTGCTCTGGCATGATGAAGTTGGAACGCCGTGTGTGTTCCGTTATACCAAGTCTTCTGAACAATCGGAGCACTCACCAGGTATCATCTGTGTTTCAGTTCGACTTCGAAGGTTTGAACCAAGAATCAAGGATCAGACCAGTATCAGGCTCACAATGGAACTCCGCTAGGCTGTTGGCGATCGATCCGACGGAGTTTGCATCTGGGGCGGAATTTGGTGGTTGAATTGAGTTGCCACGTCAAAGCTTCGCAATTGTACCTCTTCAAACTGGTTTTGTGGCGGCAATGGAATTTTCCTCAAAGCTTCAGTAGTTATTGTCAGATTTGCATAGATTCGGACGTCGCCAACCTGCTGTATCTAAATGCTCTCTCGCTCCAGAACTTTGGTGTCAGAAAAAACTCGCCAATAAGGAACAACCTCATTGCGAACAAGCAAGAGCAAAAGATACAAGAGGCCCCGTGCTATTTAAAGGACACTGTTGACATTGATCCAGGCTGTTTGATCAGCGCTCGATGAATAACCATCATCTTCCATGAAATGTCGGAACACATTTTATTGTCGGCCGTTATTGTCTGGTGTGCCTGATCACCCCTAGGCCGTTGCTGAATTGACTGGCCTGGACGCTTGCGGGCTTCCCTACTGAGATTTTGGTGACGTTTGATGGCGTCAGTAGGTTTCGGACATTCTGGGATTGTTTTTAGCAATCTGACCTTGGCATAGAGTACATAAACTACCCTTTTAAGACCCACTGGACTGCCTTAGGTGCTCAGGGTGGATATGCTAGCCATTGTTTATCCTCTCGCGGTAAAAGTTCGTTCTGTTTGCTTGAATTTTCCAAGAAATGTGCATCAATCTTGCAAACATTTTGCCAGTCCTCAGAGCCATAATATTAGTCACCGAAAGGCCAAGAGTTTACATTCACGACATGGTATCCTTGACGTTAATGTCAAGGTACGTTCATTTCGATCTATTAAATGAGTAAATTTGTCACTAGCATTGTTTGCACTGACAGCTTAATGGTAAATGACTGTCTGGGTCATTGTTACCTGGCGGTATATTTGCAGCGTCAGTGGGACATACGGGTGTTTTGCAGTGGAAAACAGTAAAGTCTAAAGGCCGAGTTGTGTTGTGTGATTCGGGGGAGCAGGCAATGTGTAGACTGCGAAGAATTATCTCGTCCAAACCTTTTTGTGTTGATATATTCACGCTGGTGCATTGATAGAGAGATAGATAGATAGGTAGGTAGGTAGACAGATGGATGGATGGATAAACTTTCTGCTTTCTCCGATCAGTCGGATTGGCCAAATTTTCACAAGTGAGTTGGCCGAACCACACTCAATTACCTGACTAAACCGGTTGAAAAACGCAGCGTGAGTAGTAGTCATAATGATAGAGCAGATGGGTAAGATCAAGCAACAGTGTACTCGTCAGGCGTCAACGGATGAGGGAGCATACATGAAAGTTATGATCACCGCTACATCAATATTGGTTGACTGTGACGTCTCCCGTCTTCCTCATTATTCTAAACGGTCGAGTAGGTCAACACATTCGTGGCTAGGCCGGCGAATCATATCCTATAATTTACCCATGGCTTTTGAAACGTGGTTCGACCATGGCCATTGATTAAGTAGAAAGGTGGACTAGAAGTGCACCGGTTTCATTAATTTACCGATTATTCCGATTAGTCGGTTAGTCACGAATGGATCAGACGATTCGCACCAACTCGTTTGATGACGCTTGTTGAAACGTGTGGTTTCATTCAACTGAATCTAACAGGTGCTCACTGGACAACGTGAAAACCTATTGCTACGTTCGATGTTCTCGGAGAAAAGGAGAGCGTGCACAGCCATGTTCAGTGCTGGATTGCCAATTAAGTGACCACAACTGTACCTTTGGGTATAATTAACGGGTTGTTCATCCCAGATATTAACTATCAGCTCATCCCATCGGTATTTGATTATCTGTGTCCGTTCAGTCCTGATTGCGGGTCCACTATATACCTCATTTAACCACCATGGGTTACCGTGCATTTTCTCGTCGTTGCATCGCAAATGCGTCGCGATTCGCTGGTTTATGTCTAAGCGATTGCTAGTCTGGAATTAGGGTTCACCTGGCTTTTTTCGAAGGAGAACCAATGGACTTTTCAACAGGTTATAGCATCTCATATCCGCTTTCATCCGTTTATCTAAATCGGAGCACCTCCAACAGGTGAAGGCAGTGAAAAAAACATTTTCGGCCGAGGCCACAAGGTAAAAGGTTTCCAAGCGCATGCAGGTCGTCGCTGACAGATCAAGTGATTAACCTATGAGATGTCGGTCCGTCTCCCCTATACTCAGTGGGTGATATCGCCTAACTAAACGAATTTAGGAACCCCGGCCTCCCACTTCGCTGCTGGTTGTCTCCCTTATAAAAAATAAAGCAAATCAACAGACAGACAGCTAGTCGAAACTTTGTCAGCATAACCAACGCCACATTTTATATTGCAGAAAGCTGTGACGCATAAGTGGGATAGTCCTGAGCAAAATATTCTGGAACAAACCTTATCTAATAGTACGTCCGGAAATTGTTGCGCAACTTTCCAAGCAAGGTCTGTCAGATCAGAAAGTGTGCTGGACCTGTGAGGTAGCCACCGCTCATCCAGATAGCGCTGTGTTCTGGTCTTGGACATGAGCAGCTGAGCGAATTTCAAACGGTACTGCCGAGTTACAGGATCCTTTGGAATGAAAAGTAAGCAGGATACAAAGAGGTACAGAAAACAGGGTCACCGAGATGCAGTGCACGGATTACGGGTCTTAGTAAAAGCGTTAGCCACAAAAGTAAGGAGCAGTATATCACAGTAAGAATGGTTGTGAGACTTGTAGCAATAACCAAGGCCCCGTTTAATGGATAACTATTACAGCTGAGAACAACAAACAAACCTCTTGATCGGTTTCACACTTGATCCCACTGATAATAGACTTTTCTACTTCAAAGTAATCACTTTTTCAAGGTGGGTGAAAGAACAACCAACCAAAAACGTTTTAGAAAAGAGTGGAAAACAATCAGTGGTGAATCAACCGTACCCTGTTCGGTCGTGCCCGGATCAACTTGCCGAATAGCCGAGCAGCACATTGTGGGAGAAAAGAGTTAGATCAGAAGCATTTTTACCTATTTTACCGCTGCCCGCTAGCCTTCCTCAGCTGTCTTATAGTCTGCGACGCGTTAAACGAATTTTAACACCCACTGAAAAAATGGTTAACAAATTTAACGCCATTTGGCCTCAGTTTGTTGGCGCACTGACTCAGCGTACAAATGACAGTTGGACATGTTGAGTTGGTGTTGACAATTAATTACCCCTTGAACTCTACTCAAACAACTGACCATGCTGCTGTTTGTGTCTAATACGTAAGTATAAAATAATGGCTCACATGTAACATCCTTTCGGTGCCTAGCTACAAGCCATCCGAGGGAAGCATGAGACATGAGATACTGCCAGGTTGTCGAAGCGCAGACAGGAGCAGTTGAGATACTGGGGTTGGTTCCGAACCAACAAGCTTGCACCTTAACTCCCGAGCTACGCCAAGCTTTATTACATGTACTGACCAAAATTTTAGCCAGCTAAAATCGAACCCATAAGTGGCCGCGTTCCAGGCATCAAATATTGGGAACATGTGACTGTTCTCGTAGGTACATGCACCACACTCCCTGCAAATACACGTCGGTGTGACCGGTCGGTCGGAGAAAGCATGACACTGGGTCGATAAGTAGGGCGATCGCAAATTTGGGTGAATGTGATTGAGAGAGATCAATGGGCCAGCGCGAGTGAGTCGGACAATTCAGTCAATCAATTCAACCGATTCGCCCCAACACGCCCGACTACAAATTCTAATTCTGAGGTAAGTATGTGATCCATACTGACTTCATCCATAGCATGTAATTTACTCACGAAAGGGCACTGTGTCGATCAGGTATTCACGTGTAAAGGATCACCGACGGTAAGGTGCTACGGTTTGCCGAATCTATTACGATCAGAAGATGGAAACCAGAACTACGTAAACAAAGGGCAATTAACCTGCTTTCGACATTCCGATGGTAAGGACCTTCGTACTGTTTTATTTATTTATCTAACATTGTGCTGCAGTATACACCCGAAGAGACAGCAAAACACACTCAGTGTATTATGCAACGGCTTGTTTCTCTCTGCTCTCTTCAAGTTTGTGGAGAAGAGCCGTGTTTCAAATTTGTTATTTGTATTCTCGGGACCAACATCGGTCAGTCGAAACAAACGAGGTAGTGGATGTTTGTACAGAATGTATAGTATTTTCTTGGGTTAACGAGTTCTAGAGGTGCATGCGGCTCCGTAAAATAATGTGTAGTTCAAGGAGTGAAAAGTTCTAAATCCGGAGTGCAACTAAACAACCTTTATGGGTGAAACATGAATCTATCCAAAGTAGTAATCAGTTGAATGTATATTGTATATATGAGGAACTTCGACACATTCACATGACGTCACTTTGGGGTAAGGCCTCTATAGAAAACACAAATGCGGGTCAGGTCAAGCAAGGTATGACTACACATTAGGGTTTTAGACTTTCTAAAGTGCGACATATAACAAACTTGAATGTATATCGAGCGATCTTTCCCCTCTGAAAAGACCGACCAAAATGAGCTTCTCTTGCCATGCGATTCCCCCAGATGACTTCTCACAAAACACACTTCTACAAACTAGTTGAAAGTGATCTCTTTTAGGAAGGGATCCTTCTTAAAGATGGACTCCTCAAAAAGGAAAACTTAGTCATTGCAACAAGATAGACCACAAAAGTGTGACAAGTGTAATCGAACGTCTCAAGATGAAATACAGGGTGACCTATGAATAAAAAACGAGAGGATGTGCTGACTAGGTTGAAGAAGCGGATGCATGAACCTACTGTGCTGTCCGCCGGAAAGTGTCGATTAAGCTCCTGCAGGAACACAGCCATATTTCCAGATTCCGAAAAGGCCTCCAGGTGTAAATGAATAATCTGCATGTAAAGCAAAGAGGTGCAACAAAACAAAAGCCAAATTGAGAGATTTGTGTAAGTCTCCGGGTTCGGGTCGACTAAACAGCATTCGCCTCGAAATCGATCGAAGCGTAACACAGAATATGCGGAGATAACCCCCGTTTATAGATTGGTATATACTGGTAAAGGGTGACTTAACTAAATCTCCTGTTTATGCTATTCTCCGGCTAAATGTGCTATATAAAGGCCACATCATGTTTAGACTGGAGTGATATTCGAAACATCGAAGTAGTTAGTTGATAAGATACTACTCAGATGGTTGCTGAAGGTGAGAGATTCAGTTGAGTCCCCAGGTGAGACCATCTAATCTGTAAACACACATTTTGGTGACGGGAACTAAGGGATTAAAATGGCGAAGCTGGCAAAATGAACCCTCAAAGTGTTTTTATCAACCCCACAAGTTGCACTTCATAAAATGGAGTACAGTGAGAATCGAATATTCAGCGATCTTAAGAGTAAGGAACAACTTTAGGGAACACGCAATTTAGCCTTTGCCTGAAGATAGTCTCTCTGAGAGACGAGGCAAATCCATTGACGAAATGAACATTACGCACATTTCCTGTCATTGCGTCTATTGCGGTTGAGTCATTGGTTTTACATAGGCAAACACATCGTCCGTTTTACGCGCATCCAATGCACCAAAATATTTACGGCGCCACCCGTTTTCTACGTGGTCAAAGATAGGTAGCCGAGCTTCTCAGAAAATAAAAGGATCAGGAGACATGTATTCAAATCAAAATTTCAGTTATAATTTCCGAACAAGTGAGGACCCAAATGGTTAAAATATATGCAGAAGAGATCGGTTTTTGTCCCTCATCACCACGGTCGGTCAACACCTGCACTTCTAGCACCCTAAAAGTGTTTGGCTGGTGAGTGACATCTATCCTGGCTAATCTAGAGCAGCACTAAGCACGCGGGCAAGGTCAGCTCAAGCAACGTAAGGTTTTGGCTTCGCTCCCGACAAGTGAACCAACATTGATGAGATAACAAAAAAATATCATGGATGGCTAGCGTCGGAAACAGACTTTCCGATCAACAGTGCTTAAACAACTAGAGGACTGCAGTTCCTGATAAACTCTGCGGTCGCTTTGTGCAAACCCTTAACGATAACTTCTACCTGAGAGAGCAAGTTCGGCGGGCAAACAGGTAGAAGCCAGTCGGCCTAAGAACGATGATAAGAGTGAGACACAAGAAACTTTATCATAGAAGTTATCCACCGGTTCCTTCGAACTTGCTCTATTAATGACCAGGTTTAGGGTCAAATAACACGTGGTTAAACTGCGGATGCGCTTAGGTAGAACAAAAATAAGGCAGATGCTGTAAAAAGGTGGCACCTTGTATTCTCATCTCACACCACCGAAGACTATGATCCCTATGGAAGAACTGCGACCCGAAAAATTTGACAGGGGCCTGACTTACAGATCTCCGCGCCTTTGTTAAATAGTTAATCATTGGTTCCCGGAACGAACAAGATGGTTGGTCCATCGACTGGATAAACGATTCAGTAATGGCGATTAGCGAGTCCAACCATGAAATTTGCGCCTGCAGTATGGACTGAGAAGATTTTGTCGGAGGATCTCGAGTGGCAATTAAACACCACTGGGCAAGCGGGGGAACGTGGTAGGAAAATTGATGGAACAAGAGTAAGACTGGGGAAGACAGAAACAGAGGTGCGACAGAAAAGGGGTTAAGCGAATGTGCTGGTATGTGGCAAGTGAATGCATGTTATCGAATACACAAGAAGGAATGTACACGAGCCAGAAATTCGCCGAAAAATACAAATGCTCAAGCCTAGTTAATAAGCGGTCATCATTAAAAAAGTTGCAACCCATGAAGTTTGTATCCATTCAGAGCCCATGAGTATAGGAGCTATTAGAGGTAGTTGACTAAGAAACAGTGGGGGGAAGTTGTTAATTACCACAGCTACCACAGCGTACAATCATGTGGCTGACCGCGTCTAAGGGGTATTCGGCATGGTCCGTAAGACGGTGTTCACAGAATACAACTACTAGTGTAACGACGCATGCGAGTAGTGCCTGGCCTTTTCCAAGCTCCGCCACCGCATCTGACGAAAGGTGGATGTTACTACGGAAACTACGGAACCGCTTCGAAGTGTTAGTTCATTATTGTTAAATATTCAAAGAATGTCAAGGAAAGTTCAAGGGGGCGCTTGAGAATGTTCACTTTTTAAAAACTGCAGATGAGATATTTACATCCCTGTCTTACGATTTGTGACCATTTAGTTCGTGTTTGCCGATAAACAACTTCGCATTGAAGAGCGTTTGTCCTTTCACTCGTAGTTCAGCAGGCCAGTATCCCGAAGATTCGAGTGCTGAGGTAGGTGGTTTGCAGGTCACAGAGGAAAAACCCGAACAACCGAAGCCAAGATGAACACGGGATGGCAGGAGCAGACCAGTACAAGTTACGGCTTCATGACGTGCTAAGATTAGACATGGCTTACTTTGTTCCCCTCTATAAGTCAGTTATGACAGCTAGAAAACTTTGACAGCCTTAAGTGAAGTGGTTTCTACTCGATTTTAGCCGACGATGGCGTAGTTTGAAGTCTTGTTACGTCTTTGTTTGAACAACCCAACACTTAGGGCTGGGAATGACTAGTGGACCGCTCTTAAGACAAATGAACAAAAAAGGAAGTGAGCGTTCCCGCATTAAAGAGGTTGCCTTGAATGAGCTAATTCATTGAATGATTCCTGTATGATTCAAGATCAGTAGTGGAAAAAGCTGGTTTTGGGACGTTTACAAGAAGTTTCGGGAAATCGAGTATGGACAGGAAACAATGTCCAAGTAATAGTCTTCATGAGTATATCAACCAGATAAAAAGAAATATTGCTTCCGGATGCTGACTTTCGCATTGCAGTTGTACATAATGGGGGTCAGCGATGGTTTGAGACAGTCAGCATGAATATAATTCAATATGTAAAACTCGCACGAGGATTTCCCACGGTTTGTAGGATCGAACAAAAAACTAGTCGGCCCAATCAGAAGGGAGAAAGTTCACACCGACTCACCAGAGTGAGCTGCTTTGAGGAACCCTTTCCGAAGGGAAAACAGCAACAAATTTTTCAGTATGAACTCTTCAATAATGTCTGTGTAAAAATCGGAGTAAATCGGAGTAAATCAGGAAAACGCAGTTACCATAAGTGCCTTCTTCTTCATCTGCTATTGAGTGTGGCCTCTCCGTGTCTAGATCAACCATACTAATCTAAAAACAGTAGATTACGATAAATGTATCGAGCTCGAATTTTAACTAGTTCAGTCTGGCAAAAAGGCTTACTAAAAAAGACGAAGTTGTACGAAACAGCATTCTATTTGAGTGACAAAGAGAGAATCTGTGGAAATGCATGAAACTGGGCGGGAAAAGATGTCCATAGACATGGTCGGTGAAAAGAATCAACAAAGACACCTGTACATTTTCTTCGGTTTTATATCAGTCAGTCTTCGGTCGAAAGTATGCATCTGTCATAGTCTGAGCTTGTTTTTCCATGCGCCCTAGAGATACGTAGATCCAAGCCAAGAGGCAGAAATAGCCACAGGGAACAATGGTCTGGGGAAGAAATTAGGCGATAAACGTGAAGAAACCTACGGCATCGTAATCGTGTAGCAGAAACTGACAGTAGGTAGTCAACAACATCAAAGCCATGATTCCAAGACACGCGAGCTTTTTGGATAGTTTACTTCCAACCACCAACGTAGTGCCTAGCATTAGTTCGAACACGCCTGTGGATTGCATGTAAACTTGAGGATTAAGCTGGACACCCAGGTGACGAAATGGGGATACTTCCGTGAAATTTTTGAAGGTTTTGAGCTAACCCAATAGGCAAAGGATAGAATAGACAAACCTCAAAACTTACCATCTCACGGTATAGAGTAGTGTTTAGTCTTACTGTCTTGACAATTCCAGGTAGGATGAACAGAATACCCAAAACCACTGTGGAAACTTGAGTTCCCAAGTAGGATGCCATTGAAGAGGTATAAATGAATAAACAATGAATAAACAAGTGTGAACAATAACCTGAAATAAAATGAGAAATAAGTTGCGCATGTGATACCAAGTCGACTAGGCTTTAGGTTCTTTAGGTGAGATGCCACGCCATGGTATTTGGTACGAATAAAAACAGACCGATCAGAGAATGGGGATGTCGTTGGTCTGTTCGCTGAGCCAGGTAATTGGGTTGCACATGTTTATCAATTGAGGTGACATTGTCAGTGAGGTGTTGTGATGCGGTGTGGTGCGGTGCGGTGTGTCAGTGGAAGTGCGCCGGATAATTGTGTGCATATATCTAGCTATGTACTGTTATCTGGGCCTAATCTACATTGATCAATTGTTGTTTGTATCCGCAATGCTGTTGAATATCTCGGCTTATTTTCTCCCCAAGGTGCTTGAACTTCGATGACGTACTATGGTAGACGAATGGTAGAACGATGATTGGAGACGTCCACAACGGTATTCAGAAAAGCAAGTCGTCAGTGAGAATGCTTCGTTGTTATAGACCAAAGGAATTTGGTATAAATGAAACAGGCAATCGAATGAAGTTAGAACCACCGAGGATAAACTTAGTCAGAGTAGAAAATAGACTTATGAGAAACCGTCAATCAGGTCGTATCAAAAACTCATCCGGCTTCCAAATAAATACGACAGAATAGGACATTTTAACCAAGGAGCTTAAATTCCACGTCGAAGATGCGCCAGTTGGTAGTCACGAAATGTGTGTTGAAAACAAACACGGTGCCTCAGATAACCCAAAAACAGATCGGACAGACTAACAAACCAGCATTCCCAAGAGCGGTGATATACAAACAAACTTAGAAAAAACAAGAGGCACTCAAAAACCTAGAGGATGAAGAAACTATTACAACAAGACCAACTGACAGCTGACCACATTAGCGGTGAACAAACCTGACCATACTGAGAAAGTGAGACAACTGTTAGACGACGTAACCGCAAACACGCCAATGGACCATGACTCCAGTTGGTCGGATCCACAAGACTTCTAGGAAGGTGCAGACAATAACAGATAACCAGTCTTGGACATAAATGAACAGGGCTCTCGAAACTGGTGTGAATCGGTAAGAGACACATCGACCGAATGCACATTTACTACTACAGGAACCATTTAATGGACCACAAAGTCCTGCATCTGAGCTCTATACGGGAGAAAAGAAGCCCATTACAGAAACGTGAAATTGAGAACAAACAAGGAAAATTATTCGTTTCGAGTGCTAATAGGCAAGTGAGGTCCAAGAAATTTCATGCAACGAGGTCTACACACGGTGTGTAGGTGTGTGTTGCATCAAAAGCAGTAACAGGAACAAACGACCAGGCGGACGTAAAAGACATCTTACAAAGAAGCTCAGACTCCTGAAAATAACCCTGGAATGTTCAAAGATCACTAAGCATCGCCAAATCCACCAAAGTCGCCTTAGAACGGTCGCCGGGTGGGAAAAGCAAGCTGTCGACTGGGCTCACCAGCTGCTTTAGTGTTCAGACATGTTTACCAAACAGTTTGAATTCAAGGTCACGAGCGATCCTTAAGCGGCACCGAAACTTTTCCTTCGATTCTGCACTGGTTTGGTTGTAATAGGGTTGTCGTGTTTTTGGAGACTGACTTTATCCGTTAATAGATCTAAGGAGCCCAGACTGTAGTTGATCACAAGATGTTACACGTTGCGACAAGAACACTAAATTAAAAAGGAATCACGGTAGCTAATAAACCAGGTGCTGTGTTGAAGGTTGAAGGAGAGAATTGACAAAAACAGTGAAAACAGCGTGGCATATCAAATTGGCCGCATAAACTGTGAGAATTTTTACGTTGGACAAACTAGAAAGACGCAGTGTACGCACATAAAAGAACATTGTGCGGTAATCAGAGGACATCATCCATTATCCTTGGCTGCACGAGGATCAGAATCACAAGTTTATCATTATCAGCATCATCACCATTGACGACAACACCGGGTGATAACACTAGTGCTTTGATGCCCTACAGCAATATGAATTTATTTGAATAGCTCTATAATGGAAAGAAATGGAGGAGGGAAGGGACCTAGGGCCAATCTACCACAAACATCCGAGGTTCCTATACTAATACGCGGCCGCACAATCTGGATAAAACTGGCAGCATGAATGCCAACCGAACACAGGCAGTATCGAGCGAACCTCATCCTGAAGGGTGAGTCACACTGAGAGTACTACCCCTCTACCAGGTCAGAAATTGACCAGTTCTCTGCTTCTACCACTCTGGATTGGGCAAGCAAAGCAGCAGTCTGCGACAAACGAGAATTCGGCGCGCGCAACATATTGCCTAACTACCGTAGCTTTTGCTGCTGAACACATTATTTGATTGCCCCCCCCCAGAAACTCGCATTTTATCTGTCTTGCTGCGAGTTCGCCGGGACCAGCCTACACGAACTATGGTTCTGAGACAAGGGTTATCGACGACCTGAAGAGGTCACAGTTCCGCTGCTCGCAAAGACCACGTCTCAGCCGTACTGTAGCCTGATACGCACGTCCCTGGAGATATACCACCTTGCCGCCATAGGTGGCTGAAATCAGCAAACGCGATCCGAGCCTTATCTGTACATTGACCCCATCTGCCTCACTACAATCGGAACTAATACATCTAAAATACGGAAAACTCTCAAGAAGCCCTGGTGCCTCTTTTAATATGGTAAGTGGCGTGTTCAATGACTACCTGTCAAGGAGCACGACCATAAGTTTTGCGGATGCAAAGTGAATGCTAAAGTACGGGATGGCTCTGGTTAACTCGGCCAGAAACACCTGTACCTTTGTTTCCTCTTCGAAGACGAGAACGCCGTCCGCATAGGCCGGGGCGATCAACCAACTAAATTAGTTTACCAGCTAAACCCTTGCACCACGAGTGCAGTGAATTCAGATACTAGTTTCGAAAATCGGAAAGTGAGAGGGTGTGAAATGCGGTTACTCGTTGGAGGCGATGGCACGTTTAGTTAGTTCGGGAACTGGGTAGCTACATAGTGAAGGAGATACCCTTGATACACGAGCGCCACTGAATGTATGATTGGCCCATTTAGGCCAGTGAAATTAGCCATTTATGAGATGGGCAATCTGACAGTATCCTAGCTCTCGTGGTTCCTTCGGGTGGCATGACAGCTAGGCACTGAAAGGGTGTTAGAGTCAAACTATTTTTCATTTTTTCCCAGTCAGTAAATTCGCGCCATACCCACTGTTTCATCTCAGATAAGTACTACCGGGGTACGCCAGATGGTTTTAGGGATAAGGAACTCTCACGCTATATTTGAAATACTCATGCCTCATCCGTACTCCGTATGTCAGGAGACCGTCTGCTTCGCACAGCCCTTTTTACCAAGCCCTGTGCTGAGTGGAAGTAACCAAGAGGTGGACGGTGTGTTACCTGGCGACGAAAAATGAAAGAACAAACAAGTCAAGTGAGCTGGGTCGACAGCTGCCGCCTCTCAGCTCTCGTGCTTCCTTCGGGTGGCATAGCAAGCATGGGGTTTGGATTTTGTCCCACCCAGTCTTGTTGTAGCAATTTGCACTTTGCAGGTGAGAAGCGCATACAGAACCGTGCGGCAGAGTCATTTAGTTTATTTAGAATCGTCTGCATTTGGGAAGGATCTGAACCCAGGAGAACAATATTGTCCGCATGCTCAATGTCTGTGAGGGAACATCCCGAGAGCATTTCGACTCACGAATCTTCGGAGGTAGGCAGAGAAAATTCAAGCAGCACATCAACAACAAATGTGAAGAGAAAAGATGAGAGGGCAGACTTCTTTTGGTGAACTCAGTTGTATACTCGTACGCACCTACAGGAGTTAGCACACAGTGCCCTCATGAGGAATAGAAATTTGGACACCTTTGGTCGCCAGACACCACCAGTTTCCCACAATCGACAGTAAAAAGCAAATTTTAGATCAAGAAAAACGACCAACGTAGAACGCTTAAAAGAATGGTGCTGTTCAAGAATTTGTTTCAAGGTAAAGCTATGGTCAACACATCCTCGGCCAGGACGAAACCGAGCTTGATTTTCAAGGAAATGTCTTTCCCAATAATCGATCAACCTAAGCAAAACAACGCCAGAGAGCACCTTAGGTGTGTCGACTACCAGGCCAATGCTAAGATGGTTTTCGTATGGCGTACTTGCACCCTTCTTGAAAACTGGAACGAGGGTAGAGGAGCTCCATTTGACTGGTATTGTTTTCGTTCCAAATCTTCTGCAGTATGGATGTTAGATTGTAAACCACGCCACCTTCTTTGAAGAATGAGGGGTATCGACCATCAGCACCAGGCGCCTTGTTGTACTTGAGGATTAATACTTCACTCTGGATTTCTGTTGTTGATGGTAGGGTGGTGTCGATGTTCCATTCAGACCCGCTGGGTTTCTCCAGCGGTTGTGTTGGTGTGACTTAGCAGTATTAATCGGATGTTCACATCAGACTAAACCAATGCTCCGGAGGGACGATGGTTGAACACTGACATTGTTCGTGTGTCTTCTGCGCGTAGAGGCCACGTCTCTCATCCAGTAAGCTGAATGGACCACAATGCCGCAGTATAAGTTCTGCCCTTGACAGGCACACTGATGTCATGTCAGCTCCGCAGGTATCGAAGTTTGGCTTTCCCGATTCAAGAAATAATCTCATCTCCAGCTAGTCCATCCGAACGTATACAGCTGATCAGGGAAACAGATTTATCCACACGTTGATTGGCTCGTCTGCAAGCATGAGGTTTGGATTTGATCCAACCGATTCTCTTAGCAGCACTTTATACTTTGCAGATGAGAAGCGCATACGGAACCGTGCGACAGGGTTATTTAGGTTATTCAAAACCGTCTGCTTTTGGGAAGGATCTGAACCAAGAAGAAAAAGGCAGAGATTTCAAGCACCATATCGATACTGACAACATCGCCCAACAATGGTGCGCTTTTGAATGTTGGGAGCGCCTTTGTGCAATGTGTTGAAACGATGCCACATAACGTTCTTGCGCCTTTTTTGACGGTCAAGG